ATGTACGCGAGAGAGAGAGACTGAATGTATGTGCGAGGTAGACCGGACGGACATGAGAGAGACCGAATGTACTCGAGAGAGAGAGACTGAATGTACGTGCGAGGTAGACCGGACGGACATGAGAGAGACCGAATGTACTCGAGAGAGAGAGACTGAATGTACGTGCGAGGTAGACCGCACGGACGCGAGAGAGACCGAATGTACGCGAGAGAGAGAGACTGAATGTACGTGCGAGGTAGACCGGACGGACGCGAGAGAGACCGAATGTACGCGTGAGAGACCGCATGTACACACGTGAGAGACCGAATGTATGCTCGGATGTACCACTCTAGCGTCCACTCAGTATATCTCGTGTGCCAATACTCGATCTTTTTTGCGTCTACTCGGTCTCTCTCACGCGCCAATACTCGGTCTCTCTCGCACCAATACTCGGTCTCTCTCACGCCTCAATACTCGGTCTCTCTCGCACCAATACTCGGTCTCTCTCACGCCTCAATACTCGGTCTCTCTCGCACCAATACTCGTTCTCTCTCACGCACCATTACTCAGTCTCTGTCACGCGTCAATACTCGGTCTCTCTCACGCGCCAATACTCGTTCTCTCTCACGCCCCCTTTGCCTCTCTCACGCGCCAATACTTGGTCTCTTTCACGCCCCCTTTGCCTCTCTCACGCGCCAATACTCGGTCTCTCTCACGCGCCAATACTCGGTCTCTTTCACGCCCCCTTTGCACCAATACTCGGTCTCTCTCATGCGTCAATACTCGGTCTCTCTCATGCGTCAATACTCGGTCTCTCTCGCGCCAATACTCGTTCTCTCTCACGCGTCAATACTCAATCTCTCTCACGCGCCATTACTCGGTCTCTCTCATGCGTCAATACTCGGTCTCTCTCGCACCAATACTCGTTCTCTCTCACGCGTCAATACTCAATCTCTCTCACGCGCCATTACTCGGTCTCTCTCATGCGTCAATACTCGGTCTCTCTCGCACCAATACTCGTTCTTTCTCACGCGTCAATACTCAATCTCTCTCACGCGCCATTACTCGGTCTCTGTCACGCGTCAATACTCGGTCTCTCTCACGAGCCAATACTCGGTCTCTTTCACGCCCCCTTTGCCTCTCTCACGCGCCAATACTCTGTCTCTCTCACGCCCCAATACTTGGTCTCTCATGCCTCAATACTCAGTCTCACACGCATTAATACTCGATCTCTGTCACGTGCCAATACTCGATCTCTTTCATGCCCCCTTTGCCTCTCTCACGCGTCAATACTCGGTCTCTCTCATGCGTCAATACTCTGCCTCTCTCACGCGTCAATACACGGTCTCTCTTGCACCAATTCTCGGTCTCTCTCATGCGTCAATACTCGGTCTCTCTCGCGCCAATACTCGTTCTCTCTCACGCGTCAATACTCAATCTCTCTCACGCGCCATTACTCGGTCTCTCTCATGCGTCAATACTCGGTCTCTCTCGCACCAATACTCGTTTTCTCTCACGCGCCATTACTCGGTCTCTCTCATGCGTCAATACTCGGTCTCTCTCGCACCAATACTCGTTCTTTCTCACGCGTCAATACTCGGTCTCTCTCACGTGCCAATACTCGGTCTCTCTCACACGTCAATATTCGGTCTCTCTCACGCGTCAATACTCAATCTCTCTCACGCGCCATTACTTGGTCTCTCTCACGCGTCAATACTCGGTCTCTCTCATGCGTCAATACTCTGCCTCTCTCACGCGTCAATACACGGTCTCTCTTGCACCAATACTCGGTCTCTCTCATGCGTCAATACTCGGTCTCTCTCGCGCCAATACTCGTTCTCTCTCACGCGTCAATACTCAATCTCTCTCACGCGCCATTACTCGGTCTCTCTCATGCGTCAATACTCGGTCTCTCTCGCACCAATACTCGTTCTTTCTCACGCGTCAATACTCAATCTCTCTCACGCGCCATTACTCGGTCTCTCTCATGCGTCAATACTCGGTCTCTCTCGCACCAATACTCGTTCTCTCTCACGCGTCAATACTCAATCTCTCTCACGCGCCATTACTCGGTCTCTCTCATGCGTCAATACTCGGTCTCTCTCGCACCAATACTCGTTCTTTCTCACGCGTCAATACTCGGTCTCTCTCACGTGCCAATACTCGGTCTCTCTCACGCGTCAATACTCGGTCTCTCTCACGCGTCAATATTCGGTCTCTCTCACGCGTCAATACTCAATCTCTCTCACGCGCCATTACTTGGTCTCTCTCACGCGTCAATACTCGGTCTCTCTCGCACCAATACTTGTTCTTTCTCACGCGTCAATACTCGGTCTCTCTCATGCGTCAATACTCGTTCTTTCTCACGCGTCAATACTCGGTCTCTCTCGCACCAATACTTGTTCTTTCTCACGCGTCAATACTCGGTCTCTCTCACGCGTCAATACTCGGTCTCTCTCATGCGTCAATACTCAATCTCTCTCACGCGTCAATACACGGTCTCTCTTGCACCAATACTCGGTCTCTCTCATGCGTCAATACTCGGTCTCTCTCATGCGTCAATACTCGGTCTCTCTCGCGCCAATACTCGTTCTCTCTCACGCGTCAATACTCAATCTCTCTCACGCGCCATTACTCGGTCTCTCTCATGCGTCAATACTCGGTCTCTCTCGCACCAATACTCGTTCTCTCTCACGCGTCAATACTCAATCTCTCTCACGCGCCATTACTCGGTCTCTCTCATGCGTCAATACTCGGTCTCTCTCGCACCAATACTCGTTCTTTCTCACGCGTCAATACTCAATCTCTCTCACGCGCCATTACTCGGTCTCTGTCACGCGTCAATACTCGGTCTCTCTCACGAGCCAATACTCGGTCTCTTTCACGCCCCCTTTGCCTCTCTCACGCGCCAATACTCTGTCTCTCTCACGCCCCAATACTTGGTCTCTCATGCCTCAATACTCAGTCTCACACGCATTAATACTCGATCTCTGTCACGTGCCAATACTCGATCTCTTTCATGCCCCCTTTGCCTCTCTCACGCGTCAATACTCGGTCTCTCTCATGCGTCAATACTCTGCCTCTCTCACGCGTCAATACACGGTCTCTCTTGCACCAATTCTCGGTCTCTCTCATGCGTCAATACTCGGTCTCTCTCGCGCCAATACTCGTTCTCTCTCACGCGTCAATACTCAATCTCTCTCACGCGCCATTACTCGGTCTCTCTCATGCGTCAATACTCGGTCTCTCTCGCACCAATACTCGTTTTCTCTCACGCGCCATTACTCGGTCTCTCTCATGCGTCAATACTCGGTCTCTCTCGCACCAATACTCGTTCTTTCTCACGCGTCAATACTCGGTCTCTCTCACGTGCCAATACTCGGTCTCTCTCACGCGTCAATACTCGGTCTCTCTCACACGTCAATATTCGGTCTCTCTCACGCGTCAATACTCAATCTCTCTCACGCGCCATTACTTGGTCTCTCTCACGCGTCAATACTCGGTCTCTCTCATGCGTCAATACTCTGCCTCTCTCACGCGTCAATACACGGTCTCTCTTGCACCAATACTCGGTCTCTCTCATGCGTCAATACTCGGTCTCTCTCGCGCCAATACTCGTTCTCTCTCACGCGTCAATACTCAATCTCTCTCACGCGCCATTACTCGGTCTCTCTCATGCGTCAATACTCGGTCTCTCTCGCACCAATACTCGTTCTTTCTCACGCGTCAATACTCAATCTCTCTCACGCGCCATTACTCGGTCTCTCTCATGCGTCAATACTCGGTCTCTCTCGCACCAATACTCGTTCTCTCTCACGCGTCAATACTCAATCTCTCTCACGCGCCATTACTCGGTCTCTCTCATGCGTCAATACTCGGTCTCTCTCGCACCAATACTCGTTCTTTCTCACGCGTCAATACTCAATCTCTCTCACGCGCCATTACTCGGTCTCTCTCATGCGTCAATACTCGGTCTCTCTCGCACCAATACTCGTTCTCTCTCACGCGTCAATACTCAATCTCTCTCACGCGCCATTACTCGGTCTCTCTCATGCGTCAATACTCGGTCTCTCTCGCACCAATACTCGTTCTTTCTCACGCGTCAATACTCGGTCTCTCTCACGCGTCAATATTCGGTCTCTCTCACGCGTCAATACTCAATCTCTCTCACGCGCCATTACTTGGTCTCTCTCACGCGTCAATACTCGGTCTCTCTCGCACCAATACTTGTTCTTTCTCACGCGTCAATACTCGGTCTCTCTCATGCGTCAATACTCGTTCTTTCTCACGCGTCAATACTCGGTCTCTCTCGCACCAATACTTGTTCTTTCTCACGCGTCAATACTCGGTCTCTCTCATGCGTCAATACTCGGTCTCTCCTGCACCAATACTCGGTCTCACTCACGCGTCAATACTCGGTCTCTCTCGCACCAATACTCATTCTTTCTCACGCGTCAATACTCAATCTCTCTCACGTGCCATTATTCGGTTTCTCTCGCGCCAATACTCGGTCTCTCTCGAGCATCAATACTCTGTCTCTCTCACGCGCCAATACTCAATTTCTCTCACGCCCTAACGCTCAGTCTCTCTTGCGTCTACTCGGTCTCTTTCACTCGCCAATACCCGGCCCCTCTCACGCGCCAATACCCGGTCCCTCTCACGCACCAATACCCGGTCCCTCTCACGCACCAATACCAGGTCCCTCTCACGCATTAATAACCGGTCCCTCTCACGCGCTAATACTCGATCTCTCTAGTGTACATTCGGTCTCTCTCAAGCGTCTCTCTGCGTTCGCTTGACTTTTGTCCCCTCTGGCGCCTCATACTTATTGATGCTGTTGAAAAGTGGTCCAGGGTGTGGTTTGGAGCATGTGCTCAAAAATATTTCCGAAATCTAATCTTATTGTACAAATATGCGCAAACTGTTGCGAATGCAAATGACAAAAAGCATCAGAAGGGTTACTTGGAGCGACAATAAGTGACGAATCGGGACTGAAAATGACTGAGAACGCCCTGCAAAAATGATTGTACGACATGTTGTGCTTTATTTACAGCTTCACATGTAAAGTTTGATTCCATCCAGAAATTCACTATGTTTTACAAAACAGTGCAACATATATATAAAAATAGAAATGACGATAAACGTGACCATGATTTATATTATGACCTGCCACTATAACAGTGATTGTACGTAACAATGTACTGTATGTTTTCTTTGCGTATAATACTTTCCTACTAGTTTAAGTGTAGTCGTTGGTTGTCGTCGGTTGTGTAAGGATTATTAGACCTAGGAAAGAAGTGAAGGTGAGTGTGAGCCTACTGTCCTGTAGAAAATCTAGCAATCTAATACTATTTTCAATAGATGTACAAATTAACACAATTTCATAACCATGAACTTTGATATGGGAGTTCTCGAACACTCTATATCTTTGGTTTATAACAAACATTTCCCAGTTGGGGAAAGAAATACACACAGTTGAAGTCAGAATTATTCACCCCCTTTGAATTTTTGTTTTCTTGTTTAAATATCTCCCAAATGATGTTGAACCGATTCAGGAAATGTTCACAGTATGTCTGATAATATTTTTTCTTCCGGATAAAGTCTTATTTGTTTTATTTCAGCTAGATTAAAGGCAGTTATTAAATTTTTTAACACCATTTTAAGGTCAATATTTTAGCCGCTTCAAGCTATATTTGTTTTCGATAGTCGGAACAAACCATCGTTATACAATAACTTGCCTAATTACCCTGCCTAGTTAACCTAATTAACCTAGTTTAGCCTTTGAATGTTCCCATTTGAGAAAAAAAATAAACAGGGGGGCTAATAATTCTGACTTCAACTCAATATTAACCAGAACAGAACGGTTTCCACCCTTCATTTTTGACCATTAAAACAGTAAAAACTCAACTGACTCAACTTAAAATTGTGAGGCAACTTCAACACATGAATTAAGTTGAGTCAACTCGAAAAGTTGGAGTTTCCATCCAATTTTAAGTTGAGTCAACTTCACAGTGTACTTTTCGATGGTTTCCAGAGTATCGTTGGACATTAAAACCCATGCAATTTCTATATAAACATTAGAATACTACAATGTTTTCTAGTGTTTGGTTTGTTTCTGCCTGCAGGACTTCAGATGGTGGTCTCCTGGTCTGGGTTTTCGCATTTTACGATCGCCGAAGACGCATTTCCATTGGTGGTCGATACACCACAGCTGTCCTGCTCTGGAGCTTTTAACTGGTCCTTTAGCGCTTGCTTCTTTTCTCGATGAGACAGTCTGTTGTAGAGAAGTCCAAACAGCAGGTAGGATGAGCTGTACAGGGCGTAAATTAACCCCAAGAAAGCATTCCTGAAAGACAAAAACGGTGCTTCCATGACATGGAAAGACAACGGTTGTGTGGTTTTGGCTACAGTGCGCTTGTATGACATGACACCATGGAGCTACTGTGACAGAATGAAAGGAGAAATGTTGGCGATGGGTGTCTTTTGTTGTTGTTCTTTAGGCTTTCTGATTGCATTACCGGACCTTGATCTCCGCTCTGACAACTTTGGTTGACTTTTATTGATATTCAGTGACTTTTATTGATATTTAATGAAACCCTCCAGTTTACAAGTCACCTAGAGTTAAACAGCTAAGTTTTAACTTTTTTTAATCCATTCAGCTGATCACTGGGTCTGGCGGGAGCACTTTTAGCTTAGCTTAGCATAAATAGTTGAATCGGATTAGACCACTAGCATCTCACTCAAAACTTTCGATATAGTTAATTGAAACTTTTGAGCAAGATGCTAATGGTCTAATCTGATTCAATGACTTATGCTAAGCTAAGCTAAAAGTGCTCCCAAAAGACACGGGAAATAAAAATACGCAAATTTTACACATTTTAAAAATGTTTTGAATTCATTCAGACAATCTGGGTCTTGCGAAAGCACTTTTAGCTTAGCTTAGCTTAGCATAAATACTTGAATTGGATAAGACCTTTAGCAGTTCACTCAAAAATTTCAAAAATAATTTAAATAATTTACATATAATTTTCGATATACGGAGAAGTCACATTTTGGTAAATTTTGAGCGAGATGTTAATAATACAATCCGATTAAATGATTTATGCTAAGCTTAAGCGACTATGACAGAATGAAAGGAGAAATGTTGGCGATGGGTGTCTTTTGTTGTTGTTCTTTAGGCTTTCTGATTGCATTATGGGACCTTGATCTCCGCTCTGACAACTTTGGTTGACTTTTATTGATATTTAGTGACTTTTATTGATATTTAATGAAACACTCCAGTTTACAAGTCACCTAGAGTTAAACAGCTAAATTTTAACTTTTTTAATCCATTCAGCTGATCACTGGGTCAGGCGGGAGCACTTTTAGCTTAGCTCAGCATAAATACTTGAATGGGATTAGACCACTAGCATCTCAAAACTTTCCATATAGTTAATTGAAACTTTTGAGCAAGATGCTAATGGTCTAATCTGATTCAATGACTTATGCTAAGCTAAGCTAAAAGTGCTCCCAAAAGACACAAGAAATAAAAATATGCTAATTTTACAAGTCCCAAGTTAAAACTATTTTTAATTCATTCAGACAATCTGGGTCTTGCGAAAGCACTTTTAGCTTAGCTTAGCATAAATACTTGAACTGGATAGGACCATTAGCAGTTCACTCACAAATTTAAATAATAATAAAAAAAGTTTTAATAATTTTCATTTTATTTAAATTTTCGATTTTTTTTTTTCATAATAACTCTTTAGTCATTTTTGAGCAAGATGCTAAGGGTGTAATCCGATTCAATGACTTATGCAAAGCTAAGCTAAAAGGGCTCCCAAAAGACACAGAAAAATGGAAATAAGCTAATTTTACAAGTCACATATAGTTAAACAATTAAAAAAAAAGAAAAAAAAAAAAGAATCCATTCAGACAATCTGGGTCTTGCGAAAGCACTTTGAGTTTAGCTTAGCGCAAATACTTGAATTGGATAAGACCATTAGCATCTCACTCAAAATTATCAAACAGAATTTAAATAATTTACATATAATTTTTGATAAAACTTTGATAACAGAGAAGTCAATCTTTGGTCATTTTCGAGCGAGATGTTATTAAACCAATCTGATTCAATGATCTATGCTAAGCTAAGCTACGCTAAGCTAAAATTGCTCCATCAGACCAAGTAAATGGAAATAAGCTAATTTTACAAATCACCTAGAGTTCAACTTTGCATTTTTGAATCTATTCAGTCGGTCTGGCAGGAGCACTTTTAGCTTAGCTTAGCATAATTCATTTAATCAGATTAGACCATTAGCATCTCAAAAAAAGAAAAAGAAAAATGTTTTAATATTTTTTTATACATTTTCTGATACAAATTTGTTTTAAAAAAAGAGTCACTTTGGTCATTTTTGAGCGAGATGTTAATGGTCCAATCTGATTCAATGATCTATGCTAAGCTAAGCTAAGCTGAAATTGCTCCATCAGACCTAGTAAAAGAAAATAAGCCAATTTTACAAGTCACCTACAGTTAAACTTTGCATTTTTGAATCTATTCAGTTGATCTCCGGGTCTTGTGGGAGTACTTGTAGCTTAGCATAGCATAATTCATTGAATCAAATTAGACCATTAGCATCTCCCAAAAAAAGCGTTTTAAGAATTTTTTATACTTTTTCTGATACAAATTCGATAGACAGAAGAGTCACTTAGGTCATTTTTGAGCGAGATGCTAATGGTCTAATCGGATTCAATGATTTATGCTAAGCTAAGCGACTATGACAGAATAAAAGGATAAATGTTGGCGATGGATACCTGACACACTTCTGCAACCTGGTGAGTGAGCACTGGAATCAGCATGTAAACGAACAAATCCGACAATTACAGAGACATTTGCATGGCTTACGGCTTCTTGATGACAGAATGCGCATTGTAGATCCATGTAGCTTTTATAAAACTTTCGCTAAAATTGAATAGAGCCAAGAGTTAAATAGCAAAATGTTTAAAGCTCTTGAGTCATTTGGTAGAGGTGTTTTTGTTGTTGTTGTTGTTGTTTTTTAGGCTTTCAGGTTGCATTATGGGACCTTGATCTCTGCTCCGACGACTTTGGTTGTAGAAACTTTAACTCTGCATTGTAATAAAGTGACTTTTATTGATATTTACAAGTCAACTAGAGTTAAATAGCTGTTTTAACATTTTTTATTCCATTCAGCTAATCACAAGGTCAGGCAGGAGCACCTTTAGCTTAGCTTAGCATAAATACTTAAATCGGATTAGACCATTAGCCTCTTACTCACAAATTTAAATAAAAAATTTTTTGATTTTTTTTTTACATAAAGTTTTTTTTTTAAAATAAAGTTTAGATAATTTTTATTTAATTAAATTTTCGGGGGGGGGGGGGGGGGTTGATTAAAAAAATTGATAAACAGAAGAAATCACTCTTTGGTCATCTTTGAGCAAGATGCGAATGGTCTAAACCGATGCAATGACTTATGCTAAGCTAAGCTTAAAGTGCTCCCAAAAGACACAGAAAATGGAAATAAGCTCATTTTACAAGTCACCTAGAGTTAAAGAGCTGACTTGAAAAAAAAAAAACAACTTTTAGTTTAGCTTAGCATAAATTATTGAATCAGATTAGACCATTAGCATCTCACTCAAAAATGTAAAAAATAATTTTAAAAAAGTACATATAGTTTTCAATAAAACTTTAATAAACGGAGAAGTCACTCTTTGGTAATTTAAGTGCTGGATGTTAATGGTCCAATGTAATTCAATGATCTATGCTAAGCTAAGCTAAAATTGCTCCATCAGACCTAGTAAATGGAAATAAGCTAATTTTACAAATCAACTAAAGTTAAACTTTGCATTTTTGAATCTATTCAGTCGACCTCCAGGTCTGACGGGAGCACTTCTAGCTTAGCTTAGCATAATTCATTGAATCAGATTAGACCGTTAGCATTTAAAAAAAAAGAAAAATGTTTTAATAATTTTTATACATTTTCTGATACAAATTCAATTAAAAAAAGAGTCACTTTGGTTATTTTTAAGCGAGATGTTAATGGTCCAATCTGATTAAATGATCCATGCTACGCTAAGCTAAGCTAAGCTAAAATTGCTCCATCAGACCTAGTAAATGGAAATAAGCCAATTTTACAAGTCACCTAAAGTTAAACTTTGCATTTTTTAATCTATTCAGTCGACCTCCGGGTCTGGCAGGAGCACTTTTAGCTTAGCTTAGCATAATTCATTGAATCAGATTAGACCATTAGCATCTCACAAAAAATTTAAATGATTTATTAATTTTTATACATTTTCTGATACAAATTCGATAAAAAAAGAGTCACTTTGGTTATTTTTAAGTGAGATGTTAATGGTCCAATCTGATTCAATGATCTATGCTAAGCTAAGCTGAAATTGCTCCATCAGACCTAGTAAATGGAAATAAGCTAATTTTACAAATCAACTAAAGTTAAACTTTGCGCTTTTGAATCTATTCAGTCAACCTCCTGGTCTGGCAGGAGCACTTTTAGCTTAGCTTAGCATAATTCATTGAATCAGATTAGACCATTAGCATCTCACAAAAAAGAAAAATGTTTTATTAATTTTTATACATTTTCTGATACAAATTCGACAAAAAAGAGTCACTTTGGTCATTTTTAAGCGAGATGTCCAATCTAATTCCATGTTCTATGCTAAGCTAAGCTAAAATTGCTCCATCAGACCTAGTAAATGGAAATAAGCCAATTTTACAAGTCACCTACAGTTAAACTTTGCATTTTTGAATTTATTCAGTCGACCTCTGGGTCTGGCAGGAGCACTTTTAGCTTAGCTTAGCATAATTCATTGAATCAGATTAGACCATTAGCATCTCACAAAAAAATTACAATGTTTTATTGATTTTTTATACATTTTCTGATACAAATTCGATAAAAAAGAGTCACTTTGGTTATTTTTAAGCGAGATGTTAATGGTCCAATCTGATTCAATGATCTATGCTAAGCTAAGCTAAAATTGCTCCATCAGACCTAGTAAATGGAAATAAGCCAATTTTACAAGTCACCTACAGTTAAACTTTGCATTTTTTAATCTATTCAGTCGACCTCCGGGTCTGGCAGGAGCACTTTTAGCTTAGCTTAGCATAATCCATTGAATCAGATTAGACCATTAGCATCTCACCAAAAAAAAAAATATTTTAATAATTTTTATACATTTTCTGATACAAATTCGATAAAAAAAAAGAGTCACTTTGGTTATTTTAGTGCTAGATGTTAATGGTCCAATCTGATTCAATGATCTATGCTAAGCTAAGCTAAGCTGAAATTGCTCCATCAGACCTAGTAAATGAAAATAGGGCAATTTTACAAGTCACCTACAGTTAAACTTTGCATTTTTGAATCTATTCAGTCGATCTCCGGGTCTGGTGGGAGCGCTTTTAGCTTAGCTTAGCATAATTCATTGAATCAGATTAGACCATTAGCATTTAAAAAAACAAACATTTTTAAAATAATTTGTATAAATGTTCTGATACAAATTCGATAAAAAAAGAGTCACTTTGGTTATTTTTAAGCGAGATGTTAAAGATCCAATCTGATTCCATGATCTATGCTAAGCTAAACTAAGCTAAAATTGCTCCATCAGACCTAGTAAATGGAAATAAGCAAATTTTACAAGTCACCAAGAGTTAAACTTTGCATTTTTGAATCTATTCAGTCGACCTCCAGGTCTGGCGGGAGCACTTTTAGCTTAGCTTAGCATAATTCATTGAATCAGATTAGACCATTAGCATTTTAAAAAGAAAAAAAAATGTTTTAATAATTTTTATACATTTTCTGATACAAATTCGATTAAAAAAAGAGTCACTTTGGTTATTTTTAAGCGAGATGTTAATGGTCCAATCTGATTCAATGATCTATGCTAAGCTAAGCTAAGCTAAAATTGCTCCATCAGACCTAGTAAAAGGAAATAAGCCAATTTTACAAGTCACCTACAGTTAAACTTTGCATTTTTGAATCTTTTGGTCTGGCGGGAGCGCTTTTAGCTTAGCCTAGCATAATTTATTGAATCAGATTAGACCATTAGCATCTCACAAAAAAAACGTTTTAATGATTGTTAAACAATTTCTGATACAAATTCGATAAACTAGAAGAGTCACTCTGGTCATTTTTGAGTGAGATGCCAATGGTCTAATCCAATTCAATGATCTATGCTGAGCTAAAGTATTCTGAAAGTGCTCCTGCCAAACCTGGAGATCGGGTGAATAGATTTAAAAATGGTAAAACTTTATCACTTATACTCACATATATATATATATAAACCTGTGGTAAGAGGAATGTTTTAAGAACAAAAAAAATCCCTTAAAGTCCTGTCATTGCTCACTAACTTCGAAAAAACGATTGACATTCATGACATCGCTGTATTTTCAGAAGGATAAGAGTGAGCTTTGTTCCTGTGCCCGCTGTGCGGCAAGTATTTCCATGCTTGTCATAAAAGCTTTCCGTCAAATGAAACTTCAGGGAATGCGATCCTTTAATGGCACAATACTTTCTCCTCCTCCACAATCATGTAGAAATACATCTACAATACAACACAACACCTTAACGGTGGGTGTACTGCTGTGTCCCCAAGATGTGGAAAACTAAAACCTACGTTTATTATTGTTGTTTTATAGTGTTTCAGATTATAATATAGGACTTAGGATAGGATCCCTGCTCCAAAAACTTCTGGTGTAGTAACTTTATATTGTAATAAAGTGATGTTTATCGACATTAAAAAGAGTTCAACTATTTTTAAATTCAATTCAGCCGTGTCTGGTGGCAGCACGTTTAGCTTAGCTTAGCATAAATCATTGAATCCGACTAGAACATTAGCATCTTGCTCAAAAATGACCAGAGTGACTCTTCTGTTTATCCAATTTGTACCAGAAATTGTATTTAAAAATGTAATTTTTGAGTGACATGCTAATGGTCTAATCCGATTTAATGAATTATGCTAAGCTAAGCTAAAAGTGCTCCAGCCAGACTCAGAGATTGGCTAAGTTGAATTAAAACATGTAAACTCTCAGCTGTTTAACTCTGGGTGACTTGTACAATTAGCTTCCATTTTATGGGTCTGATGGAGAATGCTTAGCTTAGCTTAGCATAAATCATTGAATTTGACTAGAACATTAGCATCTCGTTCAAAAATGACCTGAGTGACTCTTCTGTTTATTGAATTTGTATCATAAATTGTATTAAAAAATGTAATTTTTGAGTGAGATGCTAATGGTCTAATCCGATTCCATTAATTATGCTAAGCTAAGCTAAAAGTGCTTCAGCCAGACCCAGAGATTGGCTTAATTGATTCAAAACCATATAATCTCAGCTGTTTAACTGTAGGTGACTTGTAAAATTAGCTTATTTCCATTTTCTATTTCAGAGTCTTTTTAGCTTAGCAACAATCATTGAATCAGATTAGACCATTAGCATCTCGCTCACATGTCAAGAATTTAGACAAGTTTTCATATGAGTTTGATAAACAGAAGAGTCAAAAGTTAAATAGCAAAATATTTTTAAATCTCTTTGGTCATTTTTAAGTGAGATGCTAATGGTCTAATCAGATTCAATGAATTATGCTAAGCTAAGCTAAAAGCGCTCCAGCCAGACCCAGATATTGGCTAAATTTAATGAAAAATGTAAAACCTCAGCTATTTAACTCTAGGTGACTTGTAAAAATAGCATATTTCCATTTTATTGATCTGAAAGAGCACTTTTAGCTTAGCTTAGCATAGATCATTAAATCAGATTAGACCATTAGCATCTTGCTCAAAAATGTCAATAAGTTAGACAATTGTTCATGTAAATCTGATAAACAGAAGAGTCAAGAATTAGACAGCGAAATATTTTTGAATCTCTTTGGTCATTGTTGAGTGAGATGCAAATGGTCTAATCTAATTTAATGAATTATGCTAAGCTAAGCTAAAAGTGCTCAAGCCAGACTCAAATATTAGCTGATTGGATTAAAAATGTAAAATCTCAGCTGTTTAACTCTGGGTGACTTGTAAAATTAGCTTATTTCTATTTTCCGGGTCTGACAAAGCACTTTTAGCTTAGCTTAGCTTAGCATAAATCCTTAAATCTGATTAGAACATTAGAATCTCGCTCGAAAATGGCCAGAGTGATTTTTCTATTAATCAAATTTGTATTAGAAATTGTATAAAAATCATTAAAACGTTTTTTTTTTTTTTTTTTTTTTTTAAGGAGATGCTAATGGTCTAATTTGAATCAATGAATTATGCTAAGCTAAGTTAAAAGTGTTCCCAGCAGACTCAGTGATTGGCTGAATTGGTTTAAAAATGTAAAATCTCAGCTATTTAACTCTGGGTGTCTTGTAAAATTAGCTTGTTCCCATTTTCTGGGTATAATGGAAAATTTTTAGCTTAGCTTGGCTTGGCTTAGCATAAATCATGGAATCAGATTAGACCATTAGCATCTTGCTCAAAAAGGACCACAGTGACTCTTCTGTTTATCCAATTTGTACCAGAAATTGCATAAAAATATCTGATAGAGCACTTTTAGCTTAGCTTAGCATAGATCATTGAATCAGATTAGGCCATTAGCATTTTGATAAAAATTAAATAAACAGAAGAGTCAAGAGTTAAACACAGTAATAGTTTGGAATTTATAATTTCTTTCTTTTTGATGCTAATGGTCCTATCAGATTTAATAATATATGCTAAGCTAAGCTAAAAGTGCTCCAGCCAGACCCAGAGATAGGCTGAATTGAATGAAAAATGTAAAATCTCAGCTATTTAATGTATAATGTATTAAGGTAGCGTATTTCCATTTTATGGATCTGAAAGAGCACTTTTAGCTTAGCTTAGCATAGATCATTAAATCAGATTAGACCATTAGCATCTTGCTCAAAAAAGACCTCAGTAAATCTTCTGTTTATCCAATTTGTACCAGAAATTGCATAAAAATATCTGACGGAGCACTTTTAGCTTAGCTTAGCATAGATCATTATATCAGATTAGGCCATTAGCATCTCACTCACATATGTCAAGAATTT